AAACTGTACATGTAAGTTCATGATGAATACACTTTGGGATTAATTTGGTCATTATACACTGTGAAATTTCTTGCTGAAGAATCCGTAAATATCTTACACTCTGTGCCCTAAGTATACAATATACAGTATGTACAACATGTATAAAGTATAAAAATCAAATTAGGAAGATAGACGAGAGATAAGAAACCTGTAAACTTGTCTCAACTTAGAATACGGGAACAGATATAGATTATATAGTAATTAAAGAGATTTCTCTCAAAATAGTTTATTTCTTACACGTTACACTTCCGAAGTTTCTATCAAAACAATTCTTTATAGACTGAAATATATATACTATAGACTGGAAATATATATACTAAAGACTGGAAATATATATACTATAGACTGGAAATATGTATACTATAGACTGGAAATATATATACTATAGAATGTAAATATATATACTATAGACTGGAATTATATATACTATAGACTGGAAATATATATACTAAAGACTGGAAATATTATATATAGTGTAGACTGGAAATATATATACTATAGACTGGAAATATATATACTAAAGACTGGAAATATTATATATAGTGTAGACTGGAAATATATATACTAAAGACTGGAAATATATATACTATAGACTGGATACTATATATACTATAGACTGGAAATATATATACTAAAGACTGGAAATATTATATATAGTATAGACTGGAAATATATATACTATAGACTGGATATATACTATAGACTGGATACTATATATACTATAGACTGGAAATATATAGACTGGAAATATATATATTATAGACTGGAAATATATATACTATAGACACTATAAATGTCTAAAAACATATATTAGTTATATGTATTTGTTTTTAATAGTGTAAAGTTGGCATCTAAAGAAGTTTGCTAACAACAATTTTGAGATTATCAGTACATCTATTCTATATCAATACATCTAGTCTATATCAGTACATCTATTCTATATAAGTAAGGATACATAATTCGATTACCGATTCTAAGAAGTGAACTTATCTCGGTAATGTTATGTAACGTAATCAAAATGTAAAATGGGTAAATGTGTCCTGAATTTGTACAATGTGTACTGCAAATACAAAATCTTGTATGTCAAACCTTGTGAAGAAACAGTTGTTCTTCAACCCCAGTAATTAGGAATCTTCATCTCTTCCGAGTTCTTAATACTCGCTGTGATATTTTAAACATAGATTATTTGATGTAACATAATTCATTGTTTAAAATTTCTAAGTTCTACGACATCGGGTTGCAAAGATATGGGGATTTAAAAAAGGGTTTGTGACCAAGACTAAACTCAAAATACTTGATAATTTCAATTTTCACCACTTGATATCGCGATGCAGAAATTGAAGAAATTAAGTCTTTGACACAAAAATATCAACGGTTTACACCATCAGATTGCAACAATTTATGGATGTAACAGTTAAAGTTGTGGTAAAGTTGGTTACGTTGACACTAAATCTGATGTCTCTAGTCTTTCTTTTACGTAAGTAATGCGCAAGTCACTTTTGCAGAGAAACCATAAATACAAATTAACAGCTTTCAGACACAAAAATATGAAGTTCTATTTCCTACTTGATAGGGTATTATTGTAAATCGGGTATTGCCATCTTTGCATGGAGGGTCATTTGAAATTACGCTTACAGTCCCTTTCAGCTGTGTTCTTGAACGATACAAAACACCCTGAAGAAACAAGGATAAAATTATACAGTTTATATTCCTCGAATACAAGAAAATATATATAATTATATATTTATGTTCACATAATGTCCGGGATACTGATCAGTTAGATAACAAGAAAATATATATCTATATATAAATTTGGCTTGTCTGTTTGTCTGTCTGTTTGTATCCAATAAACGTCAAAACGGCTGAACCGATCGGGCCCAAATTTTTTGTGGGACATCTAGGGACTCCAGGGAAGGTTTATGAATCATCAAAATTTCAAATATTTGTCATCGTCATTAAATTTTTTAAAATTTTGAAAACCCGCGAAATTTTTGTGAAAATCCGCGAATTATTTTTGTTTTGTTTTACGATGTACACAAAGAGAACATGTTCACAATTAATTTAGGAGATGGGCGCGAAGCGCCCTCTAAGGCTAGAAAGAAGGGCGCGAAGCGCCTTGAATTTCTAGTAATTATATATTTATGTTCATATAATGTCCGGGATATTGATTAGTTAAATAATAAGAAATCAGCCAGGTGTCAGGTCCATGGGAATCCTGCTTAACGAGTTAGAACAAAATAAACAATTCGTTTCAAACATCAAAATGATGCGCTAGTTTAGAACTACGTTCATTTAATAAGATGCAAGATGAGTAATAAAAAATCATTTTTTTTCATCATCAACCTTTTTTCTGAAAAAAATGTTTTCAGTTCAAAGGAATTGAGTCTTTGTCACAAACTATGATTTTCTAATTTCTATATCTAATCCAATGCCGTAGACCTTAGATATTTCAAACAATGAATTTAGATAAAAAATCTAAGTTTGAAATATCAAAGGTTTACACCATCAGGTGGAAAAAATATAGGTGTTAGTAAAGAGTTTGTTACAAAGACTCAATTCCTTTGAAAAGAAAAGTTTATGATAAAAGATGTATTAAGAGGGAAGAGATAGTTTATGGACCATTGTCTGACCAGGTACATTTTCACATTTTTACAATTATTTTTTTTATAATATTTTCAGGATTCCAGGATGTTTTAAGGTTCTGAACACTCGTCGAAAAAGTCCTATTTAAAATCCCTATATATTTGCAGCCTAATGTATTGGAGCTTTGTTATTTTAAACCATAAATTCAAAATATATCAGTTTTTAAATATCAAATGTGTACACTACAAGGATGCAAAGATATAGGGATAAGAAAATTAGAGTTTGTTTCAAGTGTTTAGTTACTTTCAATTTTAAATTAGCTTTGCAATATACATCTTTTTCTGTTGAAAAATGGAGAAAAAAATTAAATCTCCAAAAAAAAATTCTTGAAAAATTTTTTTAAAAGATTTATTAACATTTAGCACAGAGGTCTTGTTCTCTTGTCAGTGAGTTTATACTACATATAACAATACGTGAGAGTAGTCCTATAGATGTATTGTAACGACCTGGAGTGGAAAGTAAGAGTTTTGCATCGTAAACAGGTTTTTTCGCAGATTATCTCATGTTTTTACCGCACCACCTCCCACCTGATTATCTGACAGTGCTGGATTATCATAATTTTTATAAAAAATGTGAAAACGTTAAATATTTATTAAACATTGAAACAAATTTGTTAAAACTGTCAAATCATGGACAAATCTATGAATATGGATCAACCCTGTCCTGAGCCTATTTTCAAGTCTCCTATCTATCCATCTATCTATCTATATATCTATCTATCTATCCATCCATCTATCCATGTATATCTCTCTCTGTCTTTATATCTATCTATCTATCTATCTATCTCCAGTTGACGAGTTTGATGATATAATGGTGTATTGGTGTAAGTAATAAAACAGGAACAAAGCCAAGTGCTTCAACTTCACTAACAGAATAGGGGGGTGGGCTGTCTACTGATACGTTACTCACAGAAGAAGAGGTGCATAAAGAGCAAGAGGGTCAGTAGAGATTGTGCTAAAATGATGCAGGTGAAGGCTCTAAGTGGAATAAGAAAATTGATTTTTTAAATACTAAAATCATGATTCTGCATAACTTTGTCAGTTATATTCGGTTATGAAGGTTCAAGGATGAATTAGATAAGTTTGGAAGTTTCACTAACATTCTATCTTAATATTCTTTTTTTATATATGTGTTCCAGAGTTAAATAAAAACTTTTTAGAAAGGGAAAAGACATTGATAGTTTAAGAAGATTGGTTTTTAGTCAGAGATAAGGAGTTGGGATACAATTCTATCCAGAGATAAGGAGTTGGGATACAATTCTATTCAGAGATAAGGAGTTGGGACACAATTCTATCCTGAGATAAGGAGTTGGGATACAATTCTATCCAGAGATAAGGAGTAGATATACAATTATATCCTAAGATAAGGAGTAGGGATAAATTCTATCCTGAGATAAGGAATAGAGATTTAATTCTATCCAGAGATAAGGAGTAGAAATATAATTCTATTAAGAGATACAAGCAGTAGAGATACAATTCTATCCAGAGATGAGGAGTAGGGATACAATTCTATCCAGAGATAAGGAGTAGGAATACAATTCTATCCAGAGATAAGGAGTAGAGATACAATTCTATCCAGAGATAAGGAGTAGAGATACAATTATATCCTAAGATAAGGAGTAGAGATACAATTCTATCCAGAGATAAGGAGTAGAGAATACAATTCTATCCAGAGATAAGGAGTAGAGATACAATTATATCCTAAGATAAGGAGTAGAGATACAATTCTATCCAGAGATAAGGAGTAGAGAAACAATTCTATCCAGAAATAAGGAGTAGGGATATAATTATATGCAGAGATAAGGAGTAAAGATACAATTCTATCCAGAGATAAGGAATAGAGATACAATTCTATCAAGAGATAAGGAGTAGGAATACAATTATATCCAGAGATAAGGAGTAGAGATACAATTCTATCCAGAAATAAGGAATAGGAATACAATTCTATTCAGAGATAAGGAGTAGAGATACAATTCTATCCAGAGATAAGGAGTAAAAATACAATTCTATCAAGGAGTAGAGATTGAATAATCCTGATATTTTATCCTTCCAAGAATAACTCTTTGAACAGCGCATTAGATACAATTCTATCCAGAGATAATGAGTAGGAATACAATTCTATCAAGGAGTAGAGATTGAATAATCCTGATATTTAATCCTTCCAAGAATAACTCTTTGAACAGCGCATTAAAACGAAAAACTAGAAACAGTGACAAAACTACACTTCGACATCCCCATCCCTTCCCAACCCCATCCCTTCCCAACCCCATCCCTTCCCAACCCCATCCCTTCCCAACCCCATCCCTTCCCAACCCCTACCTGAAAATGAATATCCATCGCAGTTTCATTGTAGAGAGGTTCAAGGGTTGCCTTCTCCAGGTGTGTTGAAGGACCGAGGAAAGGAGGTGGATACAATTCTCCCTTCTTCATCCAACCTCGCTCCTCCAACTCAGTTCTTCTCATCCTATAGATATATCTTTATCCGTCCCGGATACAATATCTATTCATCCTTCTCCTGTAACAAAGAAACTGATGACAATGAACCAAGATATTGCTTGGATCTATACAATATTATTAAGTACACAGATACACAATATAATTATATATTTTATTTATAAATATAAATCATAACAAATGGACAGGGGGGGGAGTATGTTTTTAAGGGATCAACCTGATTGTTCATGGATTAGTTGTAATCTTTTATTTGGTTCAATTCCTTTTATCGATACCAAAACTTTATCCTTAATTAATTACAAGAAAAGTACACTTCAAAACAGGCTCTCTGTTGTTCTAGGCCGACTACACGTAACTCCTTTGGGATGCTGCCTTAGGGTTATTGTGAACAAAACACACAGAAAATATTGAAAAGACGACATCCAGTGTCCTATCTGTTATTTTAATTAATCTATGGTAAATATATCTAAATACGTAGAATCTATAGTATCTTGTTAGAAAATCTTTTATATTTAATAATATGATATTTATATCTGTAGCTGTCTTCCATCTATGGTCTATTGAAGTAAAGATCTATAGAACCAAATTAGTCAATTTTCTGCATTCTTTACAATTATTAGTTTCATGTTAGCGCAAAGATGGAATTTTGAAATTTTCAGATTAAATCGTTTAAAATTTTTGAAGACCTTTCTGATCCTTCACCTTTACTTGTAATATCATAATGATATAATGGATATCTTTGGGAAAATACAGGATTTTTCTGTTTTACAATGTACATAGTCATTTGATTCTGTACTGTCTTAAATATATTTTATTTGATTTATTTTTTAACCTAGGTGTATGATTCACAACGGTACCCTGTTGCCTTTATCTAAATAACAGTAAGAAATTTGGGGTTAGCTATTATGGAAAATAAAAATAAATTTTGTCTATTTACTCCCTTATCTCTGCGGCATAAAATTATAAAGGAATTTAGTCTTTGCCACGAACTCTGATTTTCTAATCCTTATATCTTTGCAACCGAATGTCATAAACCTTTTTATATTTCAAACTATGAATTCTGCTAAATCTTATAACTTGTATTTGAAAATATAAAAAATTTACACCATCTGCAGGTTCGATAGATATTTGTTCTCAGAGAACTGCTCAACTGCAAGCATAGCATAAAATTAACTATTAAAATAATAAAAATGTTTCTCTTCTCATCCTAAACCTTCTCTTAAATATTCCCCGAATACAATCTCTCTTCTCAACTCTTCCAACTGTCCATTCCTTTAATCTCGGAGCTTGGAACTTAAGACTGAGGATACAAATGAAACCAGGTTTAAGAAACCCACGGCTTAGATTGGCCGGGGGGGGGGGGG